AGTGTTAAGTAGCTGCACAACTCGAGTTTTAAATTCAATTAACTTTTCATTTAAACACTTATACTCCTGTGTTAATTGTTTGATGACTAATTGCGAATTACCTCGAATTAATACATTTATAGCACCTAACTCTTCGAGAATTTCGAGTCCCGTTATTAGTGCCTGATACTCAGTTTCATTGTTCGAGTATCTCTTGTTCGTTTTCAATGATAATTTAGTAGAGAGCCCTTCGGGGGAGATGATTGAAAAACCTATTCCAGTGCCCAATTCGTGTTTCGAGCCATCGAAATATAATTGCCAAGGCTTAGTGGTTAAGTAAATGACTTCCTTTGTTTCTTTCGAGTGGTTAGCAAGAAAATCTGTAATTATTTGACCTTTAGTTGCTTTTAACGGCTCGAAAGTTAACGAATATTCAGTTAGTGCGATTGCCATTTACCAACTCGAGAATGTAAAACATGTTTACACAACATATACTTAATCACATTACTTCGACAAAATATTACAACATCACAAGGCCTAAGATAATACTTCAACTTTGTACAAGCAACATAAAGACTTAAACATAGTTTCTCCAAAGGAGTATATCTAATTTCTACTCCGACTAACATTCGACTTAAATAATAAATGGCTCTCTTGATACCATTATCATCATCTTGCGCCAGCATGCCCGCAATAGTCGAGTCGGTAGCTAAAATGTACAACTTTAGTTGCTTCCCTTTAGAGAGTGGTGCAAGCACTGGAGGATAAGCCAAGTAAACTTTGATTTCATCGAACGCTTTCTGGTGCTCCTCATTCCATCGAAATTCCTGCTCCTTTTTTAAACGTAGAAGAGGAGAAAATATTTTAGTTTTACCAGACAAGTTCGATATGAATCTTCTCAGAAAGTTTACTTTACCTAGGAGAGATTGAAGTTCTTTCTTGTTCGATGGAGGTTTAGTCTCCATGATAGCTTTCGTCTTATTTCGATTAACTTCAATTCCTTTCTGGTGTATGACAAACCCTAGAAATTCTCCTGCTGTAACACCAAAAGTACATGAAGCAGCTTCTCGCCAGCAGGTTTTCGAGGTTTCTTAGAAAGAGGAATCACTAATTTCCCCTTTCCTTTATCTGGCTTCTTGGTAGTCGAAACCTACGAGTGAAAGAGGCAAGTTAATGATGAAGACTCGAAATAGGTAAGAATCACAAAGGATAAGAAATAAACGAAGTAACTTCTTACTGTTTTTGTGCTGCCTGAGTTCACTTTTTGTTTTTTCGAGGTCTCAATACTCTAAAATGCAAGAATCCAAAAGGTAAGCAAGGCTAGAGACCGGGCCCCAAATACCGGGCTGACGTCGCTCAGCGTGTGCTCGGGGTGACTTTGTATCGCTAATTCGGGCTCGGAGTCCGGGTGCGAAGTACAGTCAGTACAAATATTATATACGGCATTTTATTATAAAATACTTTTATATTATCAGTTTATACGTATATTTTTTTTATTTAAAAATGATTGTCTGGTTTTCTTAAAATAAATAATATATCCATTGATAATATAGAGCTCCTTGCACAATCATTAAATTTTACTAGTAAATAAAATGTATGGCAAAATTTATATCCGAAAAGTCAACATGTGTGTATTTATTGATATAATGATATTTTAATATTTATTGATATAAAACTATAAGTTAATTTGTAGATTTAGAAAGATTCCCTTATATAAGAACTAATTATTATTGTTATGTTTGATTGTTTTAAACGTGGGTTTGAAGTCCACCACCGCTTATCCAAGGACAGATTATTATTGTGCCAAAACTATTTATTTTAGTAAATAGTCTTTTTATTAATTTATTTTTATAATTTTTATTTTTTTAATTTATTATGATGGATCAGTCCACAAATCGTATCCATTCATTTCAAGTCTTTTCTCCTGTTTGGTTTTATTATATATTTTCCTAAAAAATTGTATCATTATCTCTTATATATGTCTTAAATGCCTTGGTTGGAAGTCGCATCGCTTATAATCAAGTTGTCTACCAATAAAAATAGTGATAGATTAATAATTCTTTTAATATTATGTTAGTAATATTTGAAACTTATATTGGCTTATAATTGTTAGTGGATAAAAAAAAGTTTATTGTGAAATATTCTTATAAACATGTGTTTAATTAAGAAAAGTTGAATTGCTCATTTGATTAAAAAAAACAATTAGTATGGTTTAATTTTTTTTTCTTTTCATATTCATGAAATTATGTTGTGAATATTTCATATTGGAATAAACACTCACTCACTATTATATTGGTTCTTAAAACTAAGAAATTGCTCATTTAAGTACATATTATGGTTTAATTACTGATTTACTGTCATTTTAATTGCTATATATAGAAAGAAGGAAAAAAAAGGATTTACTTATTTTTAAGAGTAAGTCTATCTATATTTATCTCACTCAGTAACTCATGTTTTACACATCAAATTTCAACAATTCTATTGTTGAATTAAAAGCTCTTAATATATAAGTCAAGTCTGCAAAATTTTAAAAAATTTAAAAATTAATTAATGCTTAATTTTATTAATTTAAATTAATGTATAATTCTTTTATAATTATATATCAATTTGAATTAATGAAATGAAGTATTAAATAGTTTCAAATTTTTAAAACTTTACATATTTGATTTATATATCGAGAACTTTTAATTTAATTGTTAAATTTTTAAAATTTGATGTAAAATGAGTTATTGAATGAAGTAAGTTTAAGAAAACTTAATCTTAAAATAAGTGGATTTCTTTATATATATATATATATATATATATATATATATATATATATTTTATCTCT